ATGGTGTGAGAAAATGATCTAGTTTCATTCTTCTGCATGTTGCTGTCCAGTTCTCCCAACACCATCTGTTAAAAAGGCTGTCTTTTTTCCATTGGATACTCTTTCCCGCTTTGTCAAAGATTAGTTGGCTGTACACTTTGGGTCTAATTCTGAGTTCTCAATTCTATTCCATTGGTCTATGTGTCTGTTTTTGTGACAATACCATACTGTCTTGATGATGAAAGCTCTGTAGAGGCTCAAGTCTGGGATGTTGATGCCTCCCGTTTTGATTTTCTTCTTCAACATCACTTTGGCTATTCAGGGTCTTTTGTGGTTCCATACACATTTTAGGATAGTTTGTTCTAGTTTTCAGAAGAAAAAATTACTCCTCTTTTTAAAGTTCTCTCTGGCTGTTACACTGAAGTTAACCTAAAAGCTCCACGAATCTGAGGTTAGAACTTAATGAGATTATTTTTTATCTTGGGTTAAATTTCTTTGAAACCAAAGCTGAAGTGCAGGTCTTGATGCAGTTATTGCACTGGGGACATGGTCCCAAGAAGCTAGAGTGGGGAAGCAGGCAGGGTGAGATGGAGGGGAAAGGCCAACACAAGCACGTGTCATCAAGGTTCCTATGACGGGCTTTTGGGGCTCAGCTCCAGCTGGACCCCCCAGAAGCCATGCCAACCCCTTTCAGCTGTTCACATCTAGAAGGGAGGGGAGGCTGAGCATTCCTCCTTCATTTCCCTCCTGCACAGGCAGCTGGAGGATGTCCTGGGAAGAAAGCAGGAAGCGTGTTGGAGGCATCTCCTACATCATTGCTGGTGGGAGCTTAAATCTCAAGGTGACAGAGGCCGCTAATAGCCTAAGTGAACTTTTCTCCCTCTCCTAACACCCCACTGTCACTGGAGGCAGCCCCACATCCAGCTAAAAGATTACATGCTCTGATCTTTACCCAGATGTGGCCAATGCTTCATTTCTTGCCAAAATGGATAAGCAGATTATTGTGTGGGCTTCTGGAAAGAGACGGAGACCTTCCTCTCTCTGCCGACCACCTTCGTGCTCCCTGTAATGCAAATGCAGTGGTCAGAGCCTGCGCAGCCGCCTGGACCACGGAGCCCTGCATGGAGAGACATGCACCAACGTGGATGCTTTCTGCGTCCTCAGGGTGGCACTTGTCAGACCAGCCCTGGCCTTCCCAACCTGGGCTTCCGTTATGCAAGGGAGAAATAATCTTCATTTTATGAATCATCTGGTATTTTGAGTTCTCTCCTATATTCAACCAAATCTTATCCCAACTAATGCATCACACAAAAAGTCTGGAACACACCCCACCTCCCTGCAGTGAGGGTCATCGGTTCACAAGCCCTGGCCATGCCCACAGAGCCTCCAGGCAGCTCTTGCTCTCTCTTCCTTAAATAGATCTCACAGCACAAAGCCTCCAAGCATGAGAGAACGTTTCTCAGTGTTAAAAACAGACACCCAGAAAGAAACTTTGAAGAAATAGAGACAATTCTGGGAGCAAAAGAAGATGTCAAGATAAACTTAAAAATGCTATACATTCTCAAAAGATAAGGTGTATTTTACAGCCAAAAAGCACTAAAGAATGCAAGAAAATGAAAGAGTAAAATATTCAGAGAATGAGAAAGAGTTCTTGGAAAATAAAAATACAGCTGAAATAAGAAACACAATAGGTGAGCTGGGAATTAATGTTAACAGAAAATGGTAATAGATATATTAGGAAGAAAGAGATTCAATCCAAGGGTCCAATAGATATGGATTCCAGAACGAGGAAGGGAAAATCAGAAATTATCAAATAACATAGGAAAATCTCTTAAAGTTTTTATAATGAAAAGACTGCTTACTGCTCAGCAATGTTAACAAGGAAGGAAGGAAGGAAGGAAGGAAGGAAGGAAGGAAGGACGAAAGAAAGAAAGAAAGAAAGAAAGAAAGAAAGAAAGAAAGAAAGAAAGAAAGAAAGAAAGAAAAGAAAAGAAAACCACATCAAAAGACATCATTTTGAAATTTCTGGATATCTGCATAAAGAGAATTAATTAGCAACATTTTTCAGAAGCAAAAATATCAAGAATCAGAATAAAAGGCTTCCCAGCAACAATACCACATTCTAGAAGACAATGGAAGACTACCGTCAGAGTTCTAAAGAAAATTTATTTCAACCTGAAATTCCACAGACACACCCTCGATCAAGTGTCAGAATGGAACGAGGGACATTCTTAGGCATGAAAAGATTCAAAATATTCATTTTCCACGAACCCTTTCCTA